GCTTCAATGTGGGCAGCTTGCTTAACTTCTCGGCTTCAGTGTCTTCCTCTGCAAACCAAGACTAATATCTACACTGTGAGCACAAATTCAGCGAAATTCAGCACGCTCAGTGGACTGAAGGTGCCCAGCGAGAGGCTGCAACTCCCCCAGCAGTGGTTTACAGGAATATGCACACGCTTCAAACAGTGGAGGAGGAGGAGGAGGCTGGGAAAGGCAGCTAACATCATGGACGCTGCAAGCAGGGCTGAAAATAAGCTCACGAGTTCAAGTGAAAGAGTACAAACCAGTACTGACATTGAAGAATGACGCACGCACACTTCAGTACTTAGGGTTAATAAGGTCAGTGCCCTTCAGGCAGGGTCGTGAGGGACTGGTTTGACAGTTTGTTTGAAAGAGATCCAACTTCTACATGCCCCTGGGAAAAGACTTTAAATACTGCTTCAGTTTGCATGTGGTCCCCACCAGCTGTGTGTTGAAAGCTTGATTTCCAAATCTGACGTTAATAGCACTTGGAGGTGAGACCACTGGAAAGTAATGAGGATTAGATGAGGTCCTAAGGTGGGCCTCTGTGTCAGCATTAGCGGCCTAGTAAGACGAGGAAGACCTGATGGCTGCTTGCTGTATTCCATCAAGTAACAGCCTCTGCCGTGTTACAGTGCAGCACAGGGCCCCAAGTCTCCCCGGTAACCAGCTGCACCCTCCCCAAGAAAAGCAGGTGTTCTCCATAATGTGGTATGGAGAGGAAAAGAGGAAGGCCTGAAAGTTCATACACCAGGTGACAAGGGAAGGGGCTATTTTGTAAGCAGTATTTCTTTACTGAAAGTAACTACCTAGCAGGTCCTGCTGGTGCAGTCCTGTAATGCCAGCAGTCTGGGGGGCTGAGGCCGAAGGGTTACGGATTCAAAGCTGGTCTCAGCAACTGTCTCAAGAAATGGCTGTGGATACACCTTACAGTGAAGGACTTGGATTCAGCCCACAGTATGACCAGAAGAGAAAATGCGGGGTGGGGAGAGACAGAGAGAGACAGACAGACAGAGACAGAGACAGAGAGAGAGAGAG